GTGTGGTGGCACATGCCTGTAATCCCAGCACTCCTCAGGCTGAGGCAGGAAGATCACTGTGTTCAAGGCCTGCCTGGGCTCCACAGTGAGTTCAAGGCCAGCCTGAACTACATAGGGAAACTCTGTCTCAAAAAATGAAAAAATAAAAAATAAATAAATAAATATACTGTTGAGACTGAGGCAGGAGGCAAGCCCAACCTGAGTGACTTAGCAAGACCCTGTCGTAAAATTTTAAAAAGGGTTAAGGATGTAGCTCAGTGCTACAAAGGATGTAGCTCAGTGCTCAGTGCAAGCTCTGGGTTGATTGGGGGGAGGGGGGTTTATAATTAAACATTATAAATTTAGTGAGAAAAAAAAATCAGTGAGAAGCTAGAGAAAGATAAAAGTATGATATTATGACAGACCAGAAAAAGTTTTCTTTTTCCGTTCTTATTTATTTATTTGGGGGGGGTATTGTTGTTTCGGGGGTTATCTTGTTTTGTTTTGGGTACTGGGGATCAAACTCAGGACCTTGTGCTTGCCAGGCAGGTGCAGTGTCACTGAGCTACATCCTTGGCCCGTTTTAGGGGGTTTTTTTGGAAACAGGGTCTCACTATGTAGTTCAGGCTGGCCTTGAACTCACTATGCAGCCCAGGCTGGCCTTGACACAGCAATCCGCCTGCCTCAGCCTCTCAAATGCTGAGATTAGAGGTGGATGTCACCACACCCAGCTAGTTTTCTTTTTTAAAATTCAGAGACCTCCCAAGTTGTCAGCCCAAACCAAGAAGACAGGGCTTGCACTGAGATACATGCTCAAAGTGGGGCTAACTGGTGTCCTCCACCTCTGTACAGCCAAATTCTTTGCAACCCCAACAAGACCCTGATTTGAGTCACACCCATCCTCCCCACCACTGACTAGCTTGCAATTTAGGGTTCAGGTCCATAAAGGACTTTTCAGCAATTATGTTTCATTAATATGCAAGACACAAACACAGCTGATGCTCTGAATATGGCCCTAAAACCACCCTACTTCTTGTTCTGTGACATCAAGCCAAGGAAGCTACTTTCCAAGCATGGCCCAAGCTATCCCCATAAAGCATCGGCTCCCAGCTCAGCTCAGCACCCCAGGAAATGAGGCCTGCCTTGAACTGCAAGGCAGGGGGCCTGGGTATAGCTCTGTGAGCATGCTGAAGGGCCTGGGCTCAATCCTTAGCATGCAAAAAAAAAAAAAAGTCAAGGCCCCAATGTGTCCCAAAATGTGATGAGATCAGGCACAGAGCTGTCACTCCAAAATGCTTTCTGACTGAATGAAGCAGAAAGGCACTTCGAAAAAAAGAGGAAAGGGAGAGAAGGCATAACAAAGAGAAGAGAATGAAAGACAAGCCTGACTTTAGTAGAGACAATGTGATCACCTGTGTGCAAAATCCTGAAGCCCAGGGCTGGGGATTTAGCTCAGTGGTTCCGCCGCCTGCCTGGCAAGCACAAGGACCCGAGTTCGATCCCCAGTACCAAAAAAAAAAAAAAAAATCTTGAAGTCCAAAGATGGGTGGGAGAACTTGACTTGGGGACAGATTTATCGTGGCTAACTGCAGGCCTGGGGGTCCCCACTCGCTGGCTCAGCCACCCAAACCATGCAGCAGATGCTTCTAGCCCTAACCTCCCCAGCTGGTTCTCCCTGAATCTCTAAGAATCCACCCAGCCAACTTCTTCACTTTCAGCTTTAAAAGGGCTCCAGGGGGCTGAGGTAGAGAGCTTGCATAAGACCATCAGTTTGATCCCCAGCAAGTCTAAAACAAACCAAAAAGGCTCTAGAATTCTCATTCCTCTGTGGGGCAGGGGATGCTTAGTGTGTGTGAGGCCTTGGGTTCCATTCCCAGCACTGCACAAATAAATAAAATAAACAAACAACATATAACAGTGTACCTCGTCTCTTCTCTATCCCCATCTCCCTCCAGCAACCATCTTCTCTGCCCTTCCCTATTCTCTGCCACACTGACTTTTGTTCCCCATTCTCACCCCCTAGTTGTCTGATAGCTCCCTAAAGACTAAATCTAAAACTCCCTGGGGCTTTTCTTCTTGTCAACCAGTACTTCAGTACTTCTCAGCTTTCTTCACACCACTCTCTGGGCTTGCCCCTGCCTTGCTAGCTAGCCCCTAAAATGACAGATTATTCCCTTCAGTGCCAGGTTCCTTCACTGGATACCCCAACTTGCTCACCATAGCTGTATTTCTAGCAAGAAGCTCTCATAGCTGCCAAGTCCCAGGTCTACTGAGATCATCACTTGCATATCCCACAGGGGACCTCAAATCCACCTACCCCTCCACATCAGCCTCCTGGTTCACCCTATCTCAGTGAGGTATGACCTGACACCTAAAGCAGGCACTCTGGATTCCTGCTGGCAGTGCCCTCCCCACCATATCCTACTTATTCCCATCCTTCCAAACCCTGCCTGTGCCCAGGATCCCATCATTCCAACCTCTGCACTGGGATCCCTACCTTCAGGCTGGACCCCTGGTCTGAGTTAGGGTACAAGCTAGTGAGAAGGACAGGTGGTCAAGGCTGTGCTGACAAAACACTTTAAACTGATGGACATCATTAGCCTGTATCAGAGTAGGAAGGACAAAGATGATGATTACCAGAGGCTAAATCCCCTCAACTCCAGCCTGCCTAGCTCTGTCACTGCTTCTCCACCACCCTGACCCTCTGACACCTCCACTGTCAAAAAGTCTTCCTCTGATAAGTATTTCACATGTCTCAGCCTGCTTTAAACACTTTAATGATTCCTAAAACTCCATTGCCTTAGGATGAATGACCCGGAAGTAGTCCCCACTTACTCTTCCACAACTCCAGAAGGTTCCCCCATAAGTATTCACAATTCTGTGCCTTTGCCCAAGCTGTTCCCTCTGCCCAAAGTGCTCTTCCTTCCATTCTTCACCTGAATAACACCCACCTGTCGCTCAATGAGCATTTGTCTTAGGTCAAATTGGCTCAGGTCACAAATCAGGAAAGATTCAGATGTCAATACCTTTTCTTTTCTTCATACAAAGAACACTCTTTGGACTGGTATGACTTAACTCAGACATAGCACAATGACCACTACAAGGTCTCGTTTTCTAAACAGCTGTTTCTAATTGTACAGCAGTGATTCATCTTATTTTGCACTCATTCACCACCAGAGAAACTGCATCTAAAAAACACCCAGCTGTGCAACCTTTCTTGGCTTCGTTGCCATCCACTGCTCCCCACCACCACCAACTCCTACCCTGGTACTCAAGCCCTGGAGTGGTCCCACAGGAAAACCTGTTCTGGAAAGCCTGGGACCCTCACTCCCAAAGGAATTGCTCCATCCTTCCTCACCCACCCCCTGCCAATTACCCTAGGTGCTGCTGGAGGTCCATAAAACCATCTGTTCATAGGACAAACAATCCAGAGAGGGAACTCAAGTCCCCAGAAATAGGCAGCAACTTGTCAGAAGCCATCAAGCAATTTTGTGGGGGTGGCAGTCAGGCCTGGGGCCCTGGACTGACATCTAGGGATTCCCAGGCCAAGCCACCTTCTCCAGTTCTATGGCTTGTGATCCTCTGTCCCAAACACCACACATAATTAGAAGCTATAATCCTGTAATTCTATGATGACATCTTTTAACTTAAATATACTTCAAAACTGCTTTTTTTTTCTTTTAAAGCTAAAAGCAACTTAACAAAAAAAGCAGCTTTCCCATTCATCTGTGCATTTCCAGATTCCCCTCCTGTCCTACCTTCACTGCCCCTCACCAGTGAGCAAAAACTCAAACTGGTCAGTGTCACATGGGAGGAGAAAGATGCCAAGACCAGGTAGCAACTAGATAGCTAGGCTGTGGAACAAATAAGAATTGATTGCCCTGTGGCAAACAGTTTCACTTCCCTATTTATAATTATGCACTGTGCCTTCGATCCTATATGCTATAAAAATATCGACAATCTCTCAGCCCACCTAGTCATCACTGGCCAACCTCCAAAGGCTACTTTTAAACTCACCAGGACCTGTAAGGAGGAAGGTGTGGAAAGTGTCACTGTGACTTCTAGCTCGAAAGCATCTTTCCTGGTCCTGTCGCCTGTGGGCTTCCCAACACCCCAGCTGGCCCCAGTTGAGGTGGCTTGGTGATGGGATGGGGGTACGGGGGTGTACTGGGGATCGAACCCAAGACCTTCCTACTAAACTGCATCCCCACCCCCTTTTTATTTATTTATTTATTTATTTAAAAACAGGGTCCTGATAAATCGCTAAATTGCCCAGGCTGGGCTAGAACCTGAGATCCTTCTGCTTCAGACTTTCACAGTGCTGTGATTACCGGCGTGTGCCACCACCGCGCTCGGCTCTGGGGTCGAAGGCTTTGGAGGAACTGGGCTTAGTTCCAGGACGGGAGGCTGCGGGGAGGGCCGAGCCTGGAGCCCGCACTCGCCTGTCCAGTCTCTCAGACAACCAGATAAATCCACTTTGGCATAAAGTAAGAACGGCCGAGACCACCGCGCTCAGGCCCTCCAGGGCGACCGGGGACAGGCGAGGGGGCGGCGCCCGAGGTCCCTTTCCACAGCCGCTGCCTCTACGCCGTAAGAAGTCGAAGAGGCGGGTCCTGGAAACTTTCTGGAGGAAAAAAGGCGACCGCCAACCCGCCGGAGTGGTCGCTCGGGCGCAAGCTGGGCTCAGGTCACAGGGCGCGCGAAGGCGCTGGCGCTGCTGGGCTCAGGTCCTTCCCGGGCACGCGAGGTCGCCGGCGGGGGTGACCTGGGCCTCCCGCAAACCCCGCACTCAGGGCAAGCACCTGCAAACGCGGGCGGCCAGGTGGCCACCTGCTCCTCTCGCCCTGACGCCGCCGCGCCGCCTTCTCCCTGCTCCCCACCCTCCGTCTCCGCCCAGCAGGCCCGAGACCCGTGCGCCCGCGCCCCCTCCCCCTCCGGGCCGCCGCCCCCGTGCACGCGCTCCCGCAGCCCCCTCCTCAGCTGGGGGGTGGGGAGGCGGGCTGGAGCCCGAAGCCGCCCACCTTCCGAAAGTAGTCTTCGCCCTCCTTCTCCAGCGGCTGGCGGGCCGCGGGCAGCAGCGCATCAGTCATGCTGGCGGTCGGGGCGCGGGACGGACTGAAGTGCAGTGGCCCCGGCTCTGCCCGGACGGCGCCAGGACCCGCCCATTCCCCCCCCCCGCGGACCCCGCCCCGCCCACCGGACCAGCCCCTCCCCGCCGCCGAGGCCCCGCCCCCAGCCTGCTTGCCCAGCTGGGAGCCCCTGGGACCCTCCCAGTCTCTTTCGCAGAGGCCCCGCCCCGAGCCCCGCCCAGGATAGGGTCTTCAGGCTACCCGCGCCGGCCCAAGCCAGAGCTAGGCAGCCCAGAAACGTGGGCACCTGGCCGGCCGCTCGCGCACTCTAAGCCTCGGGGCCCAACACAAGCGACGTTGCTGGCTCAGCCCTGTAAGAGCCACGGTGGCGCAAGGGACAGCGCGGGGGTCTCAGAGGCCGCAGCGAGGCTTGGACGGGGCATTTGCCCCTTTCTCTGGCTCCATGCTTCCCGCAGGAGGACCTCTGTGCCACCCATCCCCGCTGCAAAGACTGGGCAGGTCAGCCGGGGGTGGCTGGGAGAGGGGGCCACCTATGGAAGGAACCTCGGGAGAGGTTTTGTGTCGGAGAGACCCGCGGATGTCCTTGACGTGTCTTCAGCACCACTCCAAGCCTCGATTTTCTCAACTGCAAAATAGGGTTCCGTATTTCCCCGGTTGGTCGAGGGCATTAGGACAAAGGTGCGCGGTAAAGCTCGTAGTTGAAGCGTAGGGAAGCTCTCAGTTTGGGAGAAAAAGAGGGATTTGTAGGGCTGGAGTCTGCACCAGTCCTACCCGTGCGCACTGGCTGCAGACAGACCCCGGGCCTTGCTGCCAGGCTGCGGGAACCCGGAGCGCCCAGCCCTCGGGGCCCCTCCCATTTCTGCCACCTGCCTGCAGTGGCTACTTGCCCCTCCCTCAGCCGAGGGACAGGTTCGCGCAGCTGCTGCTTCCTTTCGCGGTTGCTGTAGAGGTCGCAGGTAAAACACAATCTGTCTGCATTCAAAGCTACCTAAGCGTTGTCTCTGTACTTTCTTTTTTCTTTTTAAGTGTTTTAGGTGTTGTCCACAGTTTTTAAATAAACAGTGGCAGCTACCAAGTAAATATTAAATACATACATACATACATACATACATACATACAAGTTTGGTACATGCCTGTAATCCCAGCACTTGGGAAGCTGAGGCAGGAGGATCGCAGTGAGTTCAAGGCCAGCCCAGACTGTACAGTGAGTTCAAGGGCAAGACAAGACCTTGTCTCAAAGAAAACAGAAAAAGAGGAAGGGCAGGAGGACAAGGAAGAAAGAGAAAAAGAAAGTGGGTTTTCAGAAAGGCCTATTTAATTCTAAGAAAAAACCTGTAGAGTCCTAACCCTAGCTCAGCGTTAGAGCAGCTGTGCTTCTGTACAAGCTGGTATGGTGACACAAGCCTGTGTTCCCCACACTTGAGAGCATCAGTTCTTAGGGACTTGGAGTTGAAGGCCAGCCAGCTGTATAGAGAGTTCAAGACTGGCCTAGAGCTGGGTGTGGTATTGAACACCTGTATTCCCAGCTCTGAGGAGGCTGAGGCAGGAGGACTGCTGAGTTCAAGGCCAGCCTGAACTACCTAGGGAGACCCTGCCTCAAAACAAAATAAAACCCATTACCCTTCTCTCTTACTTTCAGAAGCAAACATCCAGCTAATTTCAACATGGATTGCTTAATCCACTGCCTTGGAAATGTCCCAGTCCAGGCTTGGAGTTTAAAATAGCCAGTTGGGCTGGGGATGTAGTTCAGTGGTATCACCGCCTGCCTTGAAAGCGCAAGGTCCTGAGTTTGATCCCCGGTCCCAAAAAGAAAAAAAAATAGCCACTTGAGAAATAAATTGGACACACAAGTTTAAATACTGCATTGTTTCTCTGGTGTGAGAAACCGAAAGTGGAAATAGGACTGAAATGTATAATAGATATTGAGAAATAGAAAGTGTTCAAATGGGAAGGGGAACAAGGAAGGGAGGGGAAAAGGAAGGAAGGGACAAGAAAAAAAGTGAAAATAAAAGGAAAAATGGAAACAAAGTTTTTGTACATAGGGATGGAAGGGGGGTTGAGGAGGGAATGGGATCAAATAAAATAAAATTTATTTTAAAAAACAGCTACTTGGGCTCAGCCCTGGGGTGGTGACTCACCCTATTACATGTGTAATACTAATAAACTTATCAATAAGAGAACCTGAACTGTGGCCAGGAAGTTTATGGATATTGTGCTGTGCATAAAAGGAGTAATTGCTATTCCCTGACAGGTGCGGAGACCTGGTCTCAAAGGAGTGACCAAGAGTACACGCCCCGCTTAGCTCCAACTTGCTGACACCAGTCCTTCCCTCGAAACTTCATGTCTTCCCACCTCCTTCTACCATCTCCAAGCCCAAAATACCTTTGCAGTTTGTCACTTGTACATGTCACTTTTCTTATTGCTGGCTTAGTAGCCTTCTTTAAAATTACTCATTTTGATGGACGTGGTGGCACAAGCCTGTGATCCCAGTACTTGGGAGGCTGAAGCAGGAGAACTGCCATGAGTTTGAGGCCAGCTGGAACTGCATAGTGAACTCACGGCCAGCCTGAAATATATAGCAATATCCTGTGTCAAAAAAGAAAAGAAACAAACAACAACAACAACAAAAACCAAATAATAAGTAAATAATTCATTTTACTTAAACAAATTTTATTTGAAGAGGCAACTATAACAAAACCATAAGTGAAACAACAGTGGTACTTTGCCCGGCAGAGAGGCACATAAAAGTAAATACAATGAAAACCAAAGTCCACTATATAATCTAGCCTGACATCATTGCCTCTTCCTGCTGCTGCTGCTTTTGTTCAAAAGGAAGAAGAGTAAGAAAAGAAAGGTTGCTGTTAAAGACACTGTAGGGGATGATGAGGTACAAATGATCAAAGTGTGCTACGTGGATGTAGGAATCTGGCAGAAGAAAGCCCATTCATCTGCATGACCAATATGCACTCATTAAAAAAAAGATGAATAAATGACTACCAATAAAGAAAGAAAGAAACACTAGCCCAGTCTAAGACTATCTCCTGGGTGTCTTCAGACGTCAAGGTGAGTCCCAGCGGGTTACCCATCCCTTGGCCACATGAACCACCTGAGTGTCACTCCTTGGGGTCCTGCAAGACCGGAAAGCTTTGTGCACTCCCATGACTCATCAGAATGGGGCCTGGGGTTTACTGTGTTTCTCTGCTCCCACTGTGGCCAGGGAAGTAGAATCAGTGCTTCTGACCAACACAGGATCAACAAGTAACCTCCTGCTTGTCAACCCCACTGGCATGTTCTAAAGAACTGGTAGTTGGGCTGCAGATGTAGCTCAGTGGCAAGGCGCCTGCCTGGCAAGCACAAGGTCCTGAGTTTAATCCCTGGTTCCATGGGGAAAAGAAGAAAAAGAAGAAAAGGAACTGATAGTGATTCCCTGAGCTCCTAACTAAAAAGCTAGGGTGATTCCAGCACCTGCCTCGCAAGCACAAGGTCCTGAGTTCAATCCCCGGTACCAAAAAAAAAAAAAAAAAAAAACTAGGATGAGAATTTCTGAGATAGGCAAAAGATTAAGATCTCAACTGCAAGACATATGTGGTGGGGCACACTTATAACCCCAAAACTTGGGAGGCTGAGGCAGGAAAGGTCTCAAGTTCAAAGCCAGCAAGCCAGGACAACATAGCAAAACCCTGTTTCAAAACAACAACAACAAAAACTTCAACTGCATTTTGCCAAGTCCCATCATACCATCTGGTTCAGGTTGGTAGTTGACTGTCCAGGGACCCAATTTCTCCAAGTAAAAGTCTCGCCTTGTAAGACCTGCTTGTTGACAAAAGGAGCATTGGCTTCTCTGGGGACAGCCAGATGTATGTTCCTCTTGGGGAGTCTGATGAAATTTGCCAAATTAAATGCAGAAAAGTACAAGGCCATTGCCAGGGTTTGGATATGGTTCAGTTGTACACAGTTACCACATTGCTATCAGGTATACCATGAATGAATCTCACAAAAAATATTGCTGAGTAAAGGAAAACAGACGCAAAATAATGTATGACGGCATTTTATGTAAAGTACAAAACAAACTAATCCATTCTGATATTATTTCTTCTGAGATTCTAGAAACTTTCTTGCTTGCTTTTTTTTTTTTTGCATTGAGGACTGAACCCAGAGCATTTGTGTGAAGCTACATCCCCAGCCCTTTTTATACTTTTTTAATTGCCCAGAGTGGGTGGGCTCAAACTTTTTATCTTCCTGCCTCAGCCCCCCAGACTGCTAAGATTACAGGCATGTGTCACCACACCTGTTTGCTTACTTGCTTTTTTTTGGTTTTGTGAGACAGGGTCTTGCTATTAGTTCAGGTGGCCTTGAACTCACTGTAGCCCAGACTGGCCTCAAACTCATGGCAATCCTCCTGCCTCAGCCTCCCAAGTACTGAGATTCCAGGCGTGCGCCGTGACACCTGGCTTACTTGCTTTTTTGTTTAAATTATGCCTGTGGACAACACTGCAGCTCCTGCCTGGGGTTTCTAGCCTGCTGGTCTTCTGTGTGGATTTTGGATTTGCCAATCCCCACAATTGTCTAAGCCAATATCTTGAAATAAATCTCTGCCTCTGATTCATCCTGTTTCTCTGGCAGAACCTTCCCTGACACAGGGGCCATTGATAAAGTTCAGATTAGTAATGATAAAAATGTATCTGGGACCATGGGAACTGAGACACAGGAGTCATGTTTTAGAGCTATTTCTAAGATGGGTTCTACAGAAGTTAGAGATAAGGCTTAAAGTAAAAATAAGAAATAGGGGGGAAAAAAGATAAACTTCATATTCCTGGAGAGAGCACAGATGTTTATGCTGTGAATGGAGATAAAGAATTCAGGAGCATTAAGGGGTCTGGGTTGGGAGAACACCAAATATTTTGGAGCACAGTAAACTTGAGGTCCTTGAGGGGCTTTGACTGCCTATGTACCCAGCTGGCTTTTGAAAATGAGTGATTCTTAGGGAGACATCTGGGCAGAAGAAAACAATGTAATTTTGGAAAGAATGTCTCTCTGTTCCTTGAACTA